CCCTATCCCAGATAAATCGTTCCCCTGGTCACCGGACCAGTGGATGCCATATCCCTATAGACCTGGAGGGTAGAGTCGGAGACTACCTCCCTCCCAAACTCGGCAGGGGTATCCCAAGGCAATGGAACCGGGGCAAGGGGGGAATCCCAGGGCACCGGGGCAATTGGACTAGTATGAGAGGCCTGTCTACAGGGGCTACTACGTGGAACTGAGGTAGGGGAACTAGCACAGGGGTTTTTCTTACAGGGGTGACTGCATGGGCCTGGGGTATGGGGACGGGCACGTGTGCCTACCTGAGCCTCAAAGTGTGAGCCGTGCTGAGTGGTGCGGGCTTGCTGTCGGGTCATCACCAGGTACATTTCTTCCAGAGCCTGGAGGGTCACATAGATGGAGATAAGGTGGCCCAGGTAATTGCCGAGTAGCACTTCCACTGGTAGCTGGTTCATGAGCCCGACTTCCACTCTCTCTGGGCTCCAATGCTCCAGTCGAGGTGAACGTGGGCAGTGGGTAGATGGTGGATGGACCCGGACAGTGACTGTACCCCCGGTCTTCTCACCTTCAGTAACAAGCTGGGGTCGAACTAGGGTTAGGGTGGCTCCGGTGTCTCGCAGCCCTTGGATAGTGTGCCTGTTCAGCTGAACCGGCTGCCTGTCGTTGTCCTGGTTGTCGGTGGTGGCCTTGATGCGGTTCACTTCATGCACGAAGGTCCAGGTTTCTTGTGCCGGTTATTACGTCCGGTGAGAGCAGCCTGGTAACAGAGGGCTGCTGCTCACGGGGCAGTAGGGGCCACAGGGCTCATCCACTGGGGTCAGTCTCTGAACTGGGGACAATTCTACTTAACGTGACCGGGTTGGTGACACTGAAAGCATTGTTGGTCTACCCAGGTCGGTGCCCGCTGAGGGGGTGTCTGAGCCATGGAGCCTTGGAGCGGGACAGTTGTGGAGGGGGAAGGTGGTGGAAAGAGTCTTATGAGGGTTCGGTAGCCAAGAAAGGAAGTGCCGCGTTGGGGCCTCTGAGTATCTGCATACTCATCTACCCGCTGGGCTGCTTCTGTTAAAGTCTTGGGCTGCCTGTCTCTCACCCATTCTTTCACCTCGGTCTGGAGCCCATTATAAAAGTGCTCCAGCATGAACAGCTGGAGGATCTCTTCAGGAGACTTTGCCTGTTGCGAGTTCATCTAATTCTGGTTGGCTCGGGTGATGCGACAGGCCCACTCCGCATGACAGTACTTCTCCCCTTTCTTCATCTCCCTGAACTTCCTGCGGTATGCCTCTGGGGTTATGGCATATCGGGCTTGCAGGACCTGTTTCACGAAGTCATACTCCCAGAGCTTGTCCTCTGGTCTGTCCTGGTAAGCCTCTGTGGCCTTCCCTACTAACCTCCGGGCTAGGATGGTGATCCAGTCTTCAAATCAAGCTCTTGGAGGAGGCACTGGTGCTCGAAGTCCTGTATAGTCCATGGGTCTAGAAACAAGATATATACTGTAGCGGAGGGCCACGAGCTGCCCTGGGACTTACATCATGTTTAAACTGTATGTGTCTATTTGGTAAATGTCTTTGCAGTAAGGAAATGTATCCGGGTGAAATGGCTGTTTTATATGTAAATGTACTGGATTCGTCTGAATGTAAGGTAGTTTCATTCCCTTAGTTTGTTCGAATGAAACTACCGAACAGTCAGACCTCCCCTGTGTGAAGTGTGTTCTCAATTACCCGTTGCAACATTGTTGTCAACGGGTAATTGACAAGGGAAGTAGCCGTCCTTTGTTCTCGGGGTTGGCCGCCATTCGACAAACGAACACGTGGCGGCGGCCATTTTAAAACTCCCGAACAGCGGTGTTTTGCCGTTGAGTGTCTGGAACTCAAATCGGACACTCGACTAGGCGAATCCTCCACAAGCCCGGTCCGTTCGGTTCCTAACTACCGAACGGCCCCTCGTTCGGTAGATAGAAAGAACCGAACTAGGGGATTCAGGTGAACCCTCCCTAGCCTCTATAGCTAAAGGCTTTTGTGCAGTTTGTTCCCTTATTCCAGGACCGACCGCAGGGCCCATTCGCATGGAACCGCATTCGGCTATCTCAGTCAGTGCGGTCGGTCATTTTATTCCCCTATACATTTCCCGAACCCCTGGTCTGATCTGGGTGATTTTTGGATATGTTGTTCACCCAGATCAGGGCTATCAGGGGATGTAGGATTTAAAGGGGTACCCCTATCTTTAGGGGTACATCCAGAAACGGGGGGAATTGCTAGACTGGATAAGGGGATTATGATGCAGGCTGAGGGGAGGAGATGTGTGGGAGGTTACCAGGAAAGGATTGGCTACTGTACTAATGATTGTAAATCCCTCCCTTGCATGGGAGCATGCTTTAAAAGGACAGTGTGGATTAAAAGATTTCAGTTCTGCTCCTGAAACTGTGTGTCGTCCAGTTATTGGGATTGCTGTGGGATATTGCTGTGTTATTTTGCCTGCTGGAGACCTTGCCTATGGATTTATAATTTACTTGTTCCTGAGCCTCACTTGGATTATAAGCGGAGATACCTGGGGATTATTGCATCTCCGCTACATATACAGTGAATGGGATGGAGATGAATGAGCGTGGTAGCGGAAAATGCTACAAACCACCTGAGTGGGAACCCCTTATACCACTCTGAGAAATACAAAAATACAATACATACAACAGGTGGATCACATGTCTTGATGCGTCTAAAAGAAATACAAAATAATATAGTGCAATATTGCCAATATATATAATAATTTAGTGGTAGCATGGTAGCGGAAAATGCTACAAACCACCTGAGTGGGAACCCCTTATACCACTCTGAGATATACAAAAATACAATACATACAACAGGTGGATCACATGTCTTGATGCGTCTAAAAGAAATACAAAATAATATAGTGCAATATTGCCAATATATATAATAATTTGGTACAATATGGAGATTAAGTACTCAAAAGCCTGGAGCCAAATAGTAACATGTGGCTCTCATGAGTGGTGCAGTGGGACTTTTCAGTAGGATGTCCCCATCCTTCTTCTAGATGTTCCTGTGGTATATTCTGCTGAGCAGGCAGATTTTCTTCACAAAGATCTTTATTAATCCAGAATGAATACAAAATGTGCAGTAAAAACAATAAAATCGGTATAAATGGTTAAAAACAAACAATGGATCCTGATCAGTCCAAAGTCAGATATTGCCAAATGGCTTGAGTGTCCAAAACACGTTTTGCCCCGTGCCAGGGGCTTCCTCAGTCGAAATAGTGTGTAGAGGCTTCTTGGCGTCCTTTTCAACCATCTGGTCTTTATACTTCCGGGTTCAGCTGTCGCACATTGGAACGCATTATGTGTTCCAATTCAAGCGCCCTATGCTGAATTTCCGGGTCGCGTCACTTGTGCCAACTCAGGCGAATAGCTGATGTCACTGGAACGCATGGCGCGTGATGCGTGCGTTCCACTTTGGAATTTTTTTCGGGAATCTACTATCGCTATATGCGGTCGTAATCTAAATGCAATTTTCTGTCATAATAATAAAAGTTAGCTGACATTTGTATGGATTATTGTACTCTTTAAATCTCTTTAAATCTCTTTATAACAGCATATGTTTAATTATATGCCTAAATAGGCATTTGAATAGATGATGATAATTATCACTAAAGCAGAATCTGTAGATTTGTTTAAACAGATCATGTTAAGTGAGTGAGGCTTTCTGCATATTAGTGCAATGGTAATGAGGTTGTTATCTCCTTTGCATTAGATGTACATATCAAAATTGACTTATAGTCCATGGGTCTGTTCGGCTCACGAACGCTGGTTCTGTACAGCTGGGAAGTGCGATCCCGCCACTTGCCACCAGTTGTAGCAGACCCAACTAGTTACCTCCGCTAATTCCCTTTCTTCAGCCAGCCGGGAACCAGTTGGAGCATAAGGAGACCCATTTTCATCCCCCCCAGTAACTGGATGATATACAGTCCTGGAGCTACATCACAGTTTTATTGGCCACACACGGCTTTTATGCATAACCCCGTGTAAGGGGTTTACCACACAAACATACAATGGCACATCCCAAGATCCTCTCCCTCCCTGGGGTCCCAGCGCGGGAAGGGACTCTGCTTCCTTTGTCCCCAAAGCCCGCCACTTACACCTTCTTCCCAAGAGCCTCTCTGCCTGGGAGTCTAGGTGCGGGAAAAAGTGCCCCAAAAGTGCCCACACACAAATCTCAGGGACCCTCGCTTTGGTCCATCAATCAACTGGTCTCCATTCTCGTGTACCTGGTGTGAAACCCAGACAAAGAAAGCGTCTCCTTTCAGGCGATGAATGCTCCCCCTGGCTGGTGTTCATCTATACGAATGGCGGCCACCCAGAGAAGCTTAATTATTTCTCTTGCAGCTTCACATCTATGTTTCGCGTGCAAACGTTCTGATTAATTGATGTGAACGTTCTACAGGTGCACCGGGGAGGTCCTCGTTTGGGAGACGAACGAGTCGGGAAACAATCCATGAATGCTCCCCCTGGTGGCGTTCACCTGTACTAATGGCGGCCAACCAGGGAAGCACTTATTAATTGTTTCACTTGTGGTTTTGACACTTATTTTGTGAGGTATGAACATTCTAACCTAACATTCTAAATGAGGTATTGAGGTGGTTCTCGTTCGGGAGATGAATGAATTCCTTTCGGGGAAGCACTCCTGAACGGGAAGTGGGGGAAAAGAAATGAAGGAAACACAGGTAAAAGAGAAGGGAAACCCACGAACAGACAGTGGTTCAGCCACACCGTGACTATGCGATATCCTGAACCCGGAAGTGGCTTACACACACGTACTGCATGACATGGAGGCGGAGTCTGGAGATGGCAGTGAGAGGTCCCTATATCTGCAATACCCACTCCCACAACTCCAGGATCCGCTTTTACATACATATATATATGAAACAAGGGGGGGTTGGCTGCACTCACCTGAACATGCATAAATGGGGGTGCTGCTGGGGGCCAAATTATACAATACACAAGATCCAGCGCACTCACCTATCCACTAAACAGCAACTTCAATGTTGAAAGATTTTATTCGTTTTTTTAAAAACACCCCCGTTATTTTTGCCTAGATTAAGTGTTTTTAAAAAAACAAATAAAATCTTTCAACATTGAAGTTGCTGTTTAGTGGATAGGTGAGTGCGCTGGATCTTGTGTATTGTGTGTGTGTGTGTATATATATATATATATATATATATATGTATATACATATATATATATATATATATATATATATATACATACATAATATATTTATTCATATTTGCACAGTATATATAGAAGTATATATAGAATTATAGAACTGTACATAGATCAACATCCCACTTGAGATTATGTCATTTAAACTTCAAATGATCATGTTAACAATTTGCAATAGAAATTAAAAATAGTTAATTTGTAGCTTTTTAAAAAATATATGATATTTTCACCACTAATATTAAACATCCTATAGTCCAATCTAATGCAACCTTGAATGGCATTAATTCTAATAACTACAAACATAATCGTGTACCGCGTTTTTGTGTTACGGGTCATTGAACAGAGGTTAGAGTGTCCTTTATCATTCAACATGGAAACAAATACTTAGAACACGTCTACTTTGTTAAGGTTTGATTTAATCTACTGTGAATAAGACAAAGGATCTGCAAAAACAACTTGAAAAACAAGTTGGGTAGCAAAAGGGAAATTCAATTTAACAAATAATTGAAGATTATATTAGCTTTAGTGTACTAATAATCTTAATTTTAGTAATGACAAGAGGCGAATATTTGCATAACTCTCTTTACTGAAAATCTCCAGCAGCACAGGAACAGAATAACCAATCAGAAAAAAAATCATTAGGCATATTAAAGGCTCTGTCTGTGACCTCACTTCCTCTTTCTTTGTAGCGAAAAAACAACAGGTAATAAACACATGTAACATAACTGTAAACATAAGTCCCAAAAGTTCAATCAAACAATTCATATTCCAATTCTCGATAGATCTCTTGTGTAGAAGCACAGGAAACCGATCTTCCTCTTGAAGGTAAACCAATCACACTGAAAGATAAAGAAAAAAGTCAAAGGTATCTGAAGTGGCAAGTTGCCCGCATATAATGAACATTATGATCATGAAATAACACCATATGTATGTTGTGATGCATAGCAACTGATTCAATTAGTCATAGTATTATAACAATGAGATACATAATAATATATTCAGATATAGTTCTCTGAAGGCATAGATAACACCATCACTGTAGTGATGTCCCGGACGGTTCGCCGGCGAATAGTTCCTGGCGAACATCGCTTGTTCGCGGTCGCCATGGATGGCGAACATATGCGCTATTCGGTCCGCCCCCTATTCGTCATCATTGAGTAAACTTTGACCCTGTACCTCACAGTCAGCAGACACATTCCAGCCAATCAGCAGCAGACCTTCCCTCCCAGGCCCTCCCACCTCCTGGACAGCATCCATTTTACATTCATTGTGAAGCTGCATTCTTAGTGAGAGGAGGGACAGTGTAGCTGCTGCTGATTTGATAGGGAAATTGATAGCTAGGCTAGTGTATCACATAGAAACATAGAAACATAGAAACATAGAATGTGACGGCAGATAAGAACCATTCGGCCCATCTAGTCTGCCCAATTTTCTAAATACTTTCATTAGTCCTAGCCTTATCTTATAGTTAGGATAGCCTTATGCCTATCCCACGCATGCTTAAACTCCTTTACTGTGTTAACCTCTACCACTTCAGCTGGAAGGCTATTCCATGCATCCACTACCCTCTCAGTAAAGTAATACTTCTGATATTATTTTTAAACCTTTGTCCCTCTAATTTAAGACTATGTCCTCTTGTTGTGGTAGTTTTCTTCTTTTAAATATAGTCTCCTCCTTTACTGTGTTGATTCCCTTTATATATTTAAATGTTTCTATCATATCCCCCCTGTCTCGTCTTTCCTCCAAGCTATACATGTTGAGATCCTTTAACCTTTCCTGGTAAGTTTTATCCCACAATCCATGAACCAGTTTAGTAGCCCTTCTCTGAGCCCTCTCTAAGGTATCAATATCCTTCTGAAGATACGGTCTCCAGTACTGTGTACAATACTCCAAGTGAGGTCTCACCAGTGTTCTGTATAATGGCATGAGCACTTCCCTCTTTCTACTGCTAATACCTCTACCTATACAAACAAGCATTCTGCTAGCATTTCCTGCTGCTCTATTACATTGTCTGCCTACCTTCAAGTCATCAGAAATAATCACCCCTAAATCCCTTTTCTCATATGTTGAGGTTAGAACTCTATCAAATATTCTGTACTCTGCCCTTGGGTTTTTACGTCCAAGATGCATTATCTTGCACTTATCCACATTAAATGTCAGTTGCCACAATTCTGACCATTTTTTCTAGTTTACCTAAATCATTTGTCATTTGGCTTATCCCTCCTGGAACATCAACCCTGTTACATATCTTAGTATCATCAGCAAAAAGACATACCTTACCATCAAGACCTTCTGCAATATCACTAATAAAAATATTAAAGAGAATGGGTCCAAGTACAGATCCCTGAGGACAGTACGAGACATCGCACTCCCAAGGTTGTGTGCCATCACTGGTTTTCAGCAGCTTCGTGAAGCACCACGGAGCCGAACTGAGTCCAAATGGCAGACATGTAAACTGGCATGTTTGTCCTCTCCACCGCAATTGGAGGAAAAGCCGGCAGTCTAGGGTCACGGGTACCGGCAGGTATGCGTCCTTGAGGTCCAGACATGTAAACCAGTCGTTCTCGATGAGGAGGTCTTGTAGGAGTTGAATTCCTTCCATCTTAAAGTGTCTGTATACTACGTAGGAATTCAATTGACATAGGTTGGTAACTGGTCTGTAGTCTCCTGTCTTCTTCTTGACCAGGAAAATATTGCTTAGGAAGCCTTCCCCTCCGGATGCATATTGTATTGCGTCCTTCTTGAAGAGGGTGCGGAATTCCTCATCCACGAGGTGTTCCTGTTCCGCCGACAAGCGTATTGGAGGTGGAGGGGCGACTTCAACGGGATGTGAGTAAAACTCTATGACGTAGCCTGGAGAACCCAGGCGTTGTTGGCAATCGACTCCCAATTCTGTAAGAAAAGAGACAGACTGCTGGCCATAAAATTGGAAACAGTTAGGTATGTAGGTGGACTCAGCAATAGAGAAGCAGCCACGTCCACGACCTCTGAAGCCTCTGGTTCTATCCGCGCCTCTGTAGGATGAGGTCCTTTGTGTAGTAGATGGGAAGAAATGTGAGGACTGTGGATACGATCTGGAACATGTCGCCCAGAAGCGGCTGGTAGCTCGGTTCTGCTGCTGACCAGCCCTCCCAAAAACACCTCTTCCGGTAGGGGTGCGGAAAACTTGTTTCAGCGAGGTTTGGGCCTTTTTAAGTGTGGTGAATAAATTCCTGTGCTTCTTGAGTTCTGTAATAAACTCTTTGCCAAATAGTAGGCCTTGTGCTTCTGGGCCGAATTCTTTTGTTCCTATGTCCAGGAGGTTGATGTCGATGCGGACCAGTGCAGATTTGCGTCTTTTTGCGCATAGTGCAGCATTTGCGTTGCCCAGGAGGCATATCGAGCATTGAGCCCATTCTCTGGTGGCGTTAGGATCGGGTTGTGTAGTCTGGTTGTGTACCCTGGTTGAGCGCCAGATCCGCAAAATAGAGCATCTTCACAATTGGGCCAAGTAAGTCAAGAACCTTATCTTGTGCCGCCTTCAGGGCTTTCTCTACTCCTTTGCGTGGGTCTTGTCCTGAGCGTGACATGAATACTACCACAGTGTTGTCACTTTGTCTGGTAGCAGTGGCCTGGGGCATTCGGCCTTGAGGCATGCGCATACTTCCTTCTCTAGAGGTTTGCACAGCCAATAACGCACAAAACATGCTAGGAGGCTCCATTCTGAAGACCGTGGGTGCCGGATGTTGTGGGGGTTGAAGAGTGGGGCCCCTTGTTCATCCAGGAAAATTTTGTCTTCGGCCATTCCGGTTTTAGTGCCGCTTGGGCTATCTCTGCTTCGGCCGTCATCACCGAGTATGGTTTCCTAACATACTTCGAGGAAGTGTGGGGTAGGTCTTGACATTCTTCTTCCTCTGATGGTGCCACAGTCAAGGTGTTAGTCCCCTTGAAACAACTTTTCCATCACTCTTGTGGCCAGAAAGAGTCCCTTTGTGCCACTCATCAACCACGTCCAGAGTGCGTGGTGGGTAGTAATCTTCCTCGTCAGAAGATTGTGGTGGGCGGGGTTTGAATTCCCGGTGTTTCGTCCGTTTGGTCCGTTTGATGGGCGTCTTGCCCTTGACCTTCGTGGCAGGGGGGCTGGAGCCCTTCCATTGCAATTTTGATTTGGAGACTTCTGAGCCTGAGGCCTCCATCAAGTCTGAGGGGCTTGCGTCCCCGTGGGTTTGGGGCAGAGCTCGTAACAGAGCCTTCTCCACTGAGGCGTTTATCATTGTTTGGAAATCCTGGGTAGATTGTTGAGTGTTCTCCATGATTCGTTCCCGTCCTGTTGGGAGATAGTGACAGTCAGTGGGAGTAGCGGTGGAGGGTGCACTACTTGTGCTTCTCATGGAAACATTGCTATGATAATTATCCACTTAATACGGAACTATGTAGACACATTAAAAAATATATGTACACCGGCAGACCTCTCCCGCAGCTACGCATTAAACTATACACCCATGATCTAGAAAATCACACACGACATAGACGCTTGGTAAAACATGCCAATATCCTGGCTGGGTAGATTGGCATCAGTCAAGATCACTGCAATCCAAAATTAAATTTATCTGGGCAAACAGACGCGCTAGAATAAAAAGACAAACCTTATACGTACCCAACCGAGCGGGGGGCCTAGGCCTACCACATCTCACCCACTATTACAGACAGCGCAACCAACTCAAGCTCAAAACTGGCACGCCCCATACGGAGACAAAAGATGGGTAGACCTAGAACATGATATTTTTGGCAGAGACTCCTTGTATATATGGCTACCCAAATCAGCAAGACCCCCTGCCCCAAACATCCCCCACAATCCTCAACACAATCAAGATATGGGACAAAATAACCCACAAAAGCGGACTAACAACACAACCCTCACCACTGACACCACTGCTCCGCAACACGCAATTCCCACCAGGCAGATTTTGC